TCGCTGCTCAAATCCCTCACGCCGAATCATCTCCAACTCCTTAGCAGCATCTACCACTTTCTTGAGTGGAACACCAGAAGCAGCAACCTGAGAAACTCCTAGATAGATCGGAATAATCAACCCCTTAACAAACCTCCTCACTCTCTCAGCCTCTGTGGGAAGTATCATCGAAGCAACTCAGCCTCAAACTCAGCCCTCTTGCGCTCCCTCTCACTGCGTGGAACAAATTTGGATAGAAATACCTGAGTAAATTCAGTCCAGGATAGTGGATGAGATCCAGCTGGCCTACTACTAATATAATCCCTCCACCACTGCTTAGCAGAGCCAGTCATCTGAAACTCTGTGTAGTCAACTCCATGAGACTCCACTAATCCAAGATTATGCAACCTCTCATGACAACTAACTATAAACTCATATGCATCCTCAACTAAGTCACCAGTATAAGTAGGATGATTCATTAGTCTAAACCTCCCAAACATCTTTTGCTCATCAATAGTCATAGAAGGCCTGTTCACCAAATGTGATGTCATATCTTGAAACTCCATACTATCCAAACGAGGAGCTACAACGGCAGCTTGCTGAGTCCTGGGAGTCTGAGAACTTGGAGCAACTATCGAATCTGGAGTTTGACCTCCAACACAGATCTGTGAGCCATGAGAAATGACAGGCAAAGATCCTGCTTGGGCCATCCCCTCTAGGATTCCTAACATACGAGCTAAGGTATCTTGAAGCACTAGGGGGACAATTGTACTGGTTGGAGCCTGAGCTGTCCCATCCCCCTCGACACGATCTTGCACATCCCCATGAATAATCTCTGCATCAGGAGGTACGGCCCTATCACGACCCTGGGTAGCTACTGGTACTTGAACATCCACAGGTGCTACAACACGGCCCCTACCCCGACCTCGAGCTCGTCTCCTACCTTTACCTCGGACAGTGTTCCCAGAAGCAGGCGTAGGAATAGGATCCTGACCACCACTTGCCAATGTACGATTCCTCGCCATCTGAGAGAGAATGAAATATCAAGATTAGAATTTCTACAAGTTCAAGTGTGCACGATAACGAATAATAGAACAGATTATTTCCTAAATGTCCTATAGCCTCTCGAAGATAGGTATGGACGTCTTCATACCGATCCGCAAGACTCTACTAGACATTGCTCTTGTACTGTTTAGACCGATGAACCTAGGGCTCTGATACTAAACTTGTCACGACCCAAATTTTGCAAGTCGTGATGGCACCTATGTTCCCAACAAATAGGTAAGCCAACCCAACATATTAACCCAACTAAACCAACAAATGAGTAAAAATATCAACAAGCAAGAATCTCCAACATTGAGTTCCTTATAAGTACGAAATGCGGAAGATAAAATATATCACCCTAAGAATTGGTGTCTTAAGTACAAGAGCTTCTAAAATTCGATGCAAGTTTGAAACTAAATGACAAATCTAACATAAAAGATATCCTGTTTGAATACTAATAACAGAATAAATAAAAGATAGAGTGATGTGTGGGCCACGGAACAGCCAAGCAGCTCACCACAACTCCAAGCTCGGACTCAAATTTCTCCACGAGATGTGCTTCTACACGGAATCGAATCTGCACCACAAAGAGTGCAACAAGCGTAGTATGAGTACGAAACCACGTGTACCCAGTAGTCTCATTGACCGACAACGAAGAAGTAGTGACGGGAGTTATATAAGAAAATAAATTCTTAGATTGTACAAGTATATATATATATATTACACTTACTATTTAAGTTTAATCAATAAAGGAAATCAACATTTAATATTTTCCAAACACCAAACGAAACATATAGTCATCAAGAATGAATGATGGGATCAAATGCAATGCAATATAATGCCATGTAATGATATGTCTCAGAATACCCAGTACTCACTCAACCGTATATACATGATACTCCTCGGAAGTACATCGAGAGTTCATGACCCATGGGAGACTCGCGAGGTCCATATACCGACATAGACAATCTCCACGTGTATGTGCGGACAATATCAACACACTATCATAATATCAAACAATTTTTGCACGGACGGTCTCCACGTGCCCAAATTACAATCTTAACATCTCACCATCCCCAGCACGGACGATCTCCACGTGCCCAACTTCTAGTCAATCTCATGTCAATCCATGTACACAATATATTATATCAATAAAGGGGATGATTATGCACCTGAATCATTCAAATATCGACATACTGCATAACCACCTCGATTATCCCAACTATACGGGTGTAATAAAGAAAACACAATCACACAAGAATTTCAAGTAAATTATATATCAGCTAATGCCCATATGCTTGAAAATTCTCAAATTACAATCCGCATTCTGTAGTAGTAACTTTCCATTTTATAACACCGGTACTCGTACAAATGTCCGTCACACCATTGATATGAGACCCCCATCTTTTGCCCTTACCCCTTTAATTTTTTTTATTTTTAATCTTTAATTAGGAAAACGTCCTTCAACAAGTCTAAAAGTCTTAACATACCTCAAGAGCCGAACTCGTATAATGAATCCTCAAGACAGTTCCTTCCCCTTTCGTAAAGTTTCGGAACATTCACGATCTACCAATGATGCAATATTTGTAAGTAAGCGAGTTTGTAAACATTCAAATTATTATAGGTACATCATAGACCCTAAAACTCGCTCATATCTCTAATCAAACCTCAAATCTTGATATATTTTATATGCAAAAAAATTATCAAAATTGTCAAATTCCCGGCCAATAATTTAACCTTAATCTCTCCAAATATATTAAGATTTAAATGTTATCTTATACGATATACACGTAATAATTAATTATCTATCTCAATATATAACTTAATTATTATTATTTTTTAACATTATGATAAAAATATAATAATAGAGATAAATCAATTTGAACTATTACATGAACCCAACTCTCAGAACCTAAATTTTTCCTACAGTATCCATCTCAATAAAAAAATAAAATAAAAAAATAAAAATAAAAAAGGAAATCATTGATGGCAATCAAATGGGAATCACTGGCAACAATTGAATATGGAACCTTACTATTAAAAAAACGAAAAAGAGAATTAAATAACAAAGAAAATTCCCAACAATTAAAACCAATTCACTGGTAAGGGACCCATTAGTTTGGAAATTATTATATTATATTTTTGTTACACCTTTGACCACCAATCCAATCACCCCTTTTTGTTCTTATTTAATGCCAAAATTTACAACAGTCCCTGCAATTACCCCTCTCAAACTTTCCTACAAATTATATAAATACAGTAAGAACTCACTAACCATAATAATAATAATAAATAAAATCAGACAAGGAATCACCCTTTTATCTTAACTACACATGGATTTAAGAGGGGAAAAAATTCTGAACGATCTCTAACCTGGCCGCCTCTGTTCTTCCGTTGCTTTGCCCTTCTACCTCTTTTTTTTTCTAATAACTAATTAAGTATTGAAAGTGGGGTATCCCACTAACTTAATTTAATTATATGGCTGAGGAGTAAAGGAAAATACACAAACTACACACTTGGCCCATTAACTATCACTATATTAAATATTTTAGAAAAAAAATGGTAAATTAAATAATTGTCGTTACTAAATAGTTAAAAATACCCCTTTAAATTTTTTGGAAGGAGTCAAAATAGTCGTAGTTCTAAAAACGACCTAGCGGGTCGTTACATAAAGTGAGATATTGAAGGGCCCTTGCAAGACTTTTGTAAAGAGTGGGATCAGCATAAGGAACACTAGAATTAGCACTAACTTTCGGTTTGGAGTCAACCGGAGTAAGAGTCGATTTACATGAGGATATGTCAGCTCGTTCAATTATTTCTTTAGCATATTTCCGCTGTGAAAGAAACATACCACCCTTATGTCTGGTGACAGCAATACCAAGAAAATAATTTAAACGACCCAAATCTTTCATAGCAAATTCAGAACTGAGAAGAGATATGATAGAACACCGAAGAGCATCAGAAGAAGCAGTAAGAATGATATCATCAACATATAATAAAATGTAAGCCATGTCCAAACCCTTGATGTAGATGAAAAGAGAATTGTCACACCGGCTATTAGTGAAACCAGTGGGAAAAACATAATCAGCAAAACGCTTATACCAAGCCCTGGGAGCTTGCTTAAGGTCATACAAAGACTTACGTAATAGACAAACATAATCAGGATGAGTACGATCTCTGTACCCCAAGGGTTGATGCATATAAACAGTTTCCTGAAGTTAACCGTAAAGAAAATCAGTTTTGACGTCCAATTGATGAATTGTCCATGCTTTGGACAGAGATATACTAAGAACAGTCAAAATTGTAGTAGGTTTGATAGACCGAATCACATTCATATTAGGTGGACGGGGCACTAACTCCCACGTCTTATTTTTAATAAGAGAATCATATTCATCATCCATGGCCATTTTCCAATTTAGATCAAGGAGAGCCGCAATCGGATTACAAGGCAAATGTGACCTTTTAATCTCAGAAACAAAAGAACATTTCTTATTTGGTTGAAATATCCCATTTTGGCTACGGGTCACAACTCTTTACCGCTGAAGAGGAATTTGAGTGGGTTGTTGTGCTAAATTGTTTGATGGTGTGGAATGTGTTTGGGCCAAAGGGGAAGTATGGGGTGAGGAATGAGGTGATGGGCTGTCAAGGGAGGATGGCCTAGAGGGAGGTTGGGGAGAGTCAGTAGGGGGAGAAGAGGGTTGGGCTTGCTGGTTTGGAGTACAAGTCCTGGTCCATCCTTGAGTTGGCTAAGGGCAAGAAGGAATGGTCCAGCCATATCCCCAAGGATACAGTTGGTGCCAAAAAGCAGGGGACATGTTCAAAGCTTGAGACGCACCAGAGCCTCGCCCAACAGTCGGTGAATTTCAACTACCATTATTTTTGGCACCGCCGAAGCCACCACCGGAGCCCCGACCAACATTTTTTCGGCTACCAGAGTTGCGCTTGTTGTTTGACAAACTGGAATATTTTCTCTTCAACTAACCCGTGTTTGTCAAATGACCGAAGGAGTCATCTGACGAGGCTGCAACCATGGCATATTCGGTTGCCGCCTCCTTTGCCTTTACGGTTTCCTCAAGAACAAGCATAGAGCGAGCCTTGTAAAAGGGAGGAAGCAGATTGCTTTGACGAATAAGCGTGCCCACACCACGTTAGGCTCGGGTAAGGCCACCAACCAACTGTAACACCATCCGAATATCAGAAACCGGCGCTCCAACTTTCTTCATCTGATCAGCGAGAGACTTGAGATGCTGACAGTAAGATACATTGGGAAAATTCTCCATAGAAGTGGTGGAGAATTCTTGTATAAGAGAAACTGCACGGGAATGTTGGTTGTCTTGGAATATGTCTCGCAACCTATCCTAGGCCTCCATAGCAGTAGAATCAGGCTCAATGATGGTCTGCGGGAGATCATTAGATATAGTGGCATAAATCTATGAAAGAACCATGGCATCCAAAGTAGTCCAGAGTTCATTCTCTTGATCAGTTGAAGGTGGTTTGAACATACCTTGTTTTGGAGGGATAATATGGTCTAGTACTCTGTGAGAACGAGCATGAATTTTGAATAATTTTGACCATATAGAGTATTGAACGTTTTCCATCTCAAGAGTTATGGCAATATTGTTCTTGATATTAGAGACGGCCAAAGCTGGATGAAAAGATTTGTCCGACATTGTGAGATTGCCGGCGGAAAAAAATGAACAAAGGGAAGAAGAAAAAGGGGTGGAATTAGGGGCGTATGCGGAAGAAGCACCCTAAGCAACTGATACCATGAAAGAATATTTTCCTTAATCACATCTCTCTGTTTTACCGATCCTTATATGAATAAAGATAGCAAAAAACAAGGCTACAAAATATACTCCTAACTAATTTACCATAATAGAAGATATTTACCATAATACAAAATATTTACAATATATTTAACAAGTTTATTGCACATCTCCTCTGCTGAATAAAAGGAGATCATTAGCAAAATTCAGTTATATAATCTGCTACTTATGGCACCTTGGATGGAACTTGAATTTTTTATTAGTCCTCGATGACTTTAATAATCTAATGAGATACTCCATAGCTAGAAGAAACAGATATAGGGGATACCCTTCTCTCACCCCTCTTTTTTCTTGGAATGGTCTGTTGGGAGATCCATTTATCACTATAGAATAAGAGATTGCCCTTACACATCTCATAATTCATGTTATAAATTGAGCAGGTATCTGTAGACCAAATAGTACCTCTTCGAGGAAATGTTTTTCCAAAAAGTCATATGTCTTCTGCATATCAATTTTAAACATGCATCTAGGTGAGATCCCTTTATATTTTAACTAGTTCATGGCTTAGAATCGCATTATCATTTAGCATTCTTCCGGGTACAAATTCAGCCTGACTAGGATCCACAAGATAATTAATTATTCCCTGTAATCTATGTGTAAGCATATTAAAGATTATCTTGTATATTGTGGTACAACATGAAATAGGCCTGTATTCTTTAATGGAACTAGGGTGTTATAATTTTGGAATCAATGTGAGAGAAACTCTATTAATAGGACCAAACATCTCATTAGTTTGAAAGAATTGCAATACTTCCTCTGTTACCTCATCTCCCATTGTTAGCCACGCTTGTTTGAAAAAGTGTGCAGTGAAACCATATCCTCCTGGTACTTTATTATCATCAATTTCTCTAAGTGTTGTTAGAACATCCTCAAAAATGAAAGATTGTATGAGTGATAGTTTTTGTGTTTTAGTGAGCATAGGGACATCTCTCGTTACTGCTGGTTTAGTAACTGGCATAGGTGAAGTTGATTATCCTAATAACTCCTTCTAAAAAACCACAAATACTCTTATGATGTCAGCTAGATCTATGACAATTGTACCATCTTCTTTGGTAAGCATTGTTATTTGATTATGAGCTTTCCTTCCCTTCATACTGGGAAAAAAAGTATGTAGTATTTGAATCACTCATTCGGGACAATGCATTCAGAACTTTTGCTTATAAATTGACTCTTCAATCAAGCTCCATTTGATAAGTTATGTCCTCATCTCCTTCTCTTCTTCTAGCATATGTTGGGGAATAAGAATATTTTTCATTTGATTCTGCTTCTCCAAAAGTTCTCTTCTAATCTGTTGAACTTTTGTTGTTACACCTACATATTCATTTTTTTCAAGTGTTGCATTTTTCTTCTTACATTCTTTAGATTTTGCCACACCCCGTGCATTCCTCCATTTTGTCTCTTCCATCTTGCCTTTATTATGGTTTTATAATCAAGATGCTTAGCTAGACATTTGTAGAATCTGAATGGTTTCTTCCTTATATCCCTTTGTAATTCCAAATCTATACTCAGAGGGGAATGATCTGAGAATACATTTGCCATCACCATCACTTGTACTGGTTGCATTCTAATTATCCATTCATCATTGACCAATGCTCTATCTATCTTGCTGAACACATGTCCATTAGTCCATGTTTATTTCCTCCCTACTGCATAGATCTCTGATAGGTCACTGTTAATCAGACAATCGTTGAAGTCTTTGATTTGTGCCAGCTGTACTTTCATCTCGAATTAATAGTATTTTAGTTTTTTCTCATTTACGTCAATAATATAATATAATTTATTATTAATGTTCACTATTAAGAATGCACACAATTAAAATGATAAGATTAAAATTTTAATTTAAAAATATAATACATAATATGATCATTTAAATATAAGACAACTACACAATGCATAACATAATAATTTAAATACAAATAAAACATATTACATAACATAATAATTAGTCCGTGACAAAAAATGAATCATGTCGAAAGGATGCTGAACATGCATACAAAGTTTTGCAATCACGTTTTGCAATTATTGCAGGATCGTCATATTTTTGGAGAAAGAAAACTCTACACGATATCTTCACTACATGTATTATACTGCACAACATGACAATTGAGGATGAAGCTAAGACGATTTTAATGCACCAATTCAAGATGTCGTAGAGGTTCAAACTCCAAGGTCATAAATTGTGGTAGATTACAATCTCCCATTTGAATAATATTTAGCGAGACATAACAAAAAGTAAGGACATAAATGCTTGTTTTGAACTCCATAATGCATTGATAAAACATTTATGATAGCAACTTATTTGAAAATTCAGTGTTTATGTAATATTTAAGTAATTATATTTAACTTTTATTTGAATCTGTCCATTAATTTGTATATCATATAGATTAATATTTTCTTGCAATTTATGTTATTTAAAATTTAGAATAAAATATAATTTTATGTTAAATAAAAAAATTTAAAAAATAAATTATTAGATCAAATGAAAATTATATAAAGTAGTTATTGATAAAAATAGGGAAAATGCACAAGTACCCCCTCAATCATGCCCAAAATCTCAGAGACACACTTATAACAAACTAAGGTCCTATTACCCCCCCCCCTGAACTTATTTTATAAGTAATTTTCTACCCCTTTTTGACCTGCGTGGCACTTGCTTGAAAAAAATTCAAACAATGTTGGGCCCACAAGATAGTGTCACATATGCCGAAAAGGAGTAGAAAATTATTAATAAAATAAGTTCTGGGGGGTAAGAGGACAAGTATAGTATAAGTGTGTTTCTGAGATTTCAGGCATAGGTAGAGTGGATACTTGTGCATTATCCCATAAAAATAAATAAAGAATTTATATTATAAAATAAGAAAATACGAATGAAATAGAAATAACAATATAATATTAAGACGAAAGAAAAAAATTCTTTCTTGATGCATCTTTAACCCTATCCTCTATTATACTCTCTATATATAGGGTTCTCTATTTATTCGGACAATCAATTTCAATCCAATTCTCTATTTTACTCTCTAAAAAGAATCTTTTCTCCCTCTTCTCAATATTATATTATTATTTGTATTTCATATTTATTTTTTTATTTCCGAATATAAATCATTTCTTCTTTTTGAAAATAATCACTTTATAATCTTTTATATAATACAAAATTTTATTTTAGTTTTCAAATTCTTCATTTAATATAAAATTATATTTTTTTCTAAATAACATAAATTGCAATAAATATTATATATAATACATACTAATGAATATTTAAAATAAAAGTGAAATCATTGATGAAATATAATTGCATCATAAATATTGATTATCATAATAATTATTTAAATCTTACACAAATACTCAACTTTCAAGACTATTACGTTACTTTCAGGAATGTTCCATTAATCTATTACGCAGTTCAAAATGAGCATTTTTTGTCCTTTTTTTATGTGTGGTTAAAAATTGTATAAATTAACAACACCATATTGTATCCAATTATTTTGTGTACTAATTTACTTCTGATATTCCATTTTGAACTATTGAATCAAATATTTTCATGTTATTTTAAAAGTGTGGTTTAATAATTTATCACTATAACATAAAAGTAGATTGTTTGAATTATCATGCAAATTTTGTGCATACTTCATAATGCAAAATAATTATAATCTAAATTACATATTTATAACGGAAAAAGGCCTAAAATACTCTCAAAGTATTAAAAATGGTACAAATTACCCTTCATCCACTATTGGCTCCAAATACCGTTCCCACCCACCTATTGGGTCCAAAATACCCTTATCATCCACCTTTTGATACAAAATTGACCACTTATTTAACGTTTTTATATTTAAACTATTTAAATATTTTTTTTAAATAAGTGACTTTCAACTATTTGTTATAATTTAACTTATTAGTCTAATTTATAAATCAATTCAGTACCCACCCGTTTCTAATTAAACCTCTCTAAATTAATAAACTGTCACATTATTAATGCAACAACAGAAAAACTACTGACAATTGAGTGGTTTTAAAAATTTGAGGGGAAGATATCTACAGAAGTAAATTATCATACATTCAAGTGTCTAAATAAAAATTATCGATAAACTTAAAAGACTGACTATGTTCATCTTAATTATTCTTATGTCTCAATTATGTGATGCTACTTCATAGGTAACTGTTTTTCAAGAAATATATTAAAGGTTTTATAACAAATCATAAATATTTATAAAATTATATTTTATAAAGTGCATGAATTAATTCGGGATGTATTACTTCTTTATCTTTAGTCATAAACTAGTGAACTTAACCGTGCTTCTCCCAATGATAATTTTTTATATAGTTATCACTTATTAAAATTTAAATTTAAATCTAATCGATTATTAATATTTGCTTTCCACTAAATTGTATCATTTGAAAGTGTGCTATAATTTGAAGAAAGATTGATCCCTTATATTACCTTATGTCATCAAATGGGATATAAATATATTTATTGTACTAGAGCATGTGAAAATAAATAATAATACTTGATTTTTTTCACAACAACTCTTTTATGAGTTTTTCTATATAATATTTATCTTCCTTTTTTTTCTATATTTTATAATTATTTTTTTCTCTTTTTTTGTTGACTATTTTTATCTATTGCCCTTTTACCATTTTGTTCATGAAATATTATTTTCTTGAGAGTTAAAATCTGAAAGTAAATGATGTTGGCAGTAAAAAAATTTATCTTTCAGTAAGTTCACTTTGAAGTTGAATTTTAAAATTTTAAAAATCAATAAAAGTATGCTTCACCTTTTCACTTTAAATTATTTATAATAATTCAAAAAACAACTTTAATTTGTGCTCAAAAAAAAAGTTAAACG